CTATGTTGGGTTGCCTCCCAACAAGCGCAATTTATCGTCATTAGCTTGACGGTTGCGGATCGATCACGACTTCAAACATGAAGTCACCGAAAGCGAATCCACCGCACTCTCGGGGCGAGGCTTGTAGCCTCCCATCTTAGGTTCCTTGAGTTGGCCTCTTGGTTGGCCAACAGTTCTTCGGCCTCCCCCATCTTCCGGGTCAAAACTCCCTTCATCCTTCTCCTCCAAGCATTCATCCTCGATCTTTTGGGCTTAGGACATTTATTAACTTCCTGCTCAACATCACCAAAAGCAATACAAGTAATGGTGGGGTTTACCTTGAGAGGCTCTATTCCACTCTCATTCACATCATTTGAAACTACTCCTTTCACTTCCTCACTCCTAACCCTATGATCAATTTCAAGCTTGATTCTCTCTTTACCATCCCTCAAAATTAGGGTGCCCTCATTAACGTCTATCAATGCATTGGCAGTTGCAAGAAAGGGACGATCGAGGATGAGGGGCATATCCGAGCCCTCACTTATGTCGAGAATCACAAAATCGGTCGGATAGCAAAACTTTCCCACTCTCACCATCATGTCCTACACTATACCTCTCGAGCTAATGACCGAACGGTCCGCTAAGGTGATGCTAAGCTTAGAAGTCTTAAGTTCACCTACTTCTAAATTTTTGAAAAGCTTGTATGGCATCACATTAACACTAGCTCCTAGGTCCGCCAAGGCATTGTCTATATGATGGTTGCGAATATCAAGAGGGATAGTAAAACTCCTGGGTCGGACCGCTTTTTGGGCAAGCGGTCGAGGAGGTAAGCCGAACACTCCCCGCCAAGAGTCACGTTGGCGAGGCCTTCAAGCCTTGGCTTCTTTATGAGGAATCCTTTCAGGTACTTGGCATATCTTGTCATTTGAGCCATGGATTCGAGGAAGGGGATGTTGAGGTGGAGGTTGCGGAGAATTTCCATGAAACCTCCAGACTCATTCTCCAACCTCTCCCTGTACATCCTTGTGGGATAAGGAAGAGGTGGTGTGTATCCATCCACTGGCAAAGCCTTCCTTATCGTCTTCCTCTCATTCCTCGAGGGCTTCCCTTCTCCCTTATTTGGGTTGGTCACTTCCTTGTTGGTATCTTCCTTCTCCATCACTTCATTAGTGGCGAATTCCGGAACCAACTTCACACTTCTCACTTGAAGCGCATTTACCCTGGCATGGTCCTTGGGGTTCACCACGGTTTGGGAAGGTAAAGCTCCCTTGGGTCTCTCGGTGAGGATGCCGGCAAGGTTGCCAATTTGCACCTCCAAGCTTTGGAGGCTCGCTTGATGGCTTCGGAGACCCACCTCGACCGAGGTAAACTTGGTACTTGCCACATCCATAAATTGCTCTGTCTTTTCAAACTTTTGGCTACTCATACTCACAAAGGTGTTCACTAGGTCTTCAAGCTTAGATAGCTTGTCGGGTTGTTGTTTTTGAAAACCTAGGGCACCTGGTAATTGGTATGGTTGTTGGAAGCTTGAGCCTTGCTGTTGGGGCCATTGTTGGATGAAGGTCGGCCAAGGATGGAAATTTTCCGTGGGGCCTTGGAAACACGGGGGCCTCAGATTTGTCGGCGATGCCCATGCAAAGTTGGGGCCGTTCCTCCATCCGGGGTTATAAGTATTGCTATACGGGTTGTTGACCCTAGCATTTGCCACGAAGTTAACTTGCTCCTCCGGAGTGGTTGCCTCTTTCATTGCTTGACACTCCGCCATTTCATGACTAGTGCTCGAGCACCAGCCACGCAACATCACCGACCTTTTTCCTTGCCTCTTATCTTCAAGCATAACCTCAAAAAACTTATACAACTTCGCCTCAAGCGGAGCACTTGCTCCCACGCTTCTCACTCCCCTATCATTGCTCCTTCTTCCACTTCTAGTCAACCCCCAATCGTATCCCCTAAGGGCCATGTCTTCAAGTATCTCGGTTATTTGGGGTGGAGCCATATTCATCAATTTTCCTTGACACAAGTAGTCAATGAGAATTTTATCCTCTTGCATTAGGCCTCCGTAGAAGGTTTCGATCCGGAATTGTTATTCAAACCCCTGGTGAGGGCAGTGAAGAAAGTAATCAGAGTACCTCTCCCAAGCATCCCTCAAGGTCTCGTCCTCTTCCTGCTCGAAATGTGTAATCTTCTTTCTCCACTCCGCCGTCTTCGAAGGTGGGCAATAACGAGCCATAAACTTGTTGAGGAGGTCGTCCCATGAGGTGATAGACCGAGGTGGGCGGTTGTTTAGCCACCTAAGTGCCTCCCCCGAGAGTAAGTAAGGTAAAAGCCTTAGTTGCAAAGCTTCTGCCGACACACCATTAATTTTCAAACTCCCCGAGCTCCAAGAATCTCTGCATGTGCACTCTTGGTGACTCCCTCTCAAAGCCGTGGAATAGAGAATTACTTTGTATCATAGTCACTAGAGCCGACTTGATCTCGAAATTTTTTGCCGCCACTGGAGGATGTACGATTGGCGATTGGATGTTCGCCGGCCTTGGGACCATATAGTACACCATCGTCCTCGGGGCATCCTCGTCCTCCGCCGCATCATTCAACTGGCAGGCTTGAGCGCCATCTTACCTTTGATTCCCCGCCATTTCAAATTCAATGACGGGTTCAACTTCCACTTCTTCAACTACTTCTCCACTAGCACCGGGACCCAAACGTTTTCCCCCTCTTTCACTTCTTCTCCTTGCCTTCGCTAGCTCCCTATCCTGTGCTAAGAGCTGGAGAGTTTGGTTTACGTCCTCTTCAAGTGGTAGAAAAGGTGTCGGGTTACTCTGGGTCATGCACCACCTACACACAATCGGAAAACACACCAAGTCTAGCACAAGCAAAGCACACACACTTGCAAAAATGGAAATTAAAAGCTAGATTAACAACCAAAAATCTTTTCAACATAACAGACCGTTGTTACCTAGCAACGGCGCCAAAAACTTGACTCGCACGAAACTACACCACAATAAAATCCCGACTAGAGTCCGAGTTTTTAAACTCTAGCTGGGTGCAGTATAGAGCAAGTATTTAGATATCAACCCGAGCCGGTCCGTCAACCCCTAATTCGATTGTTCAAATCATTATCTAGCAACAAAGTTTTGGTTTGAAGGCTTGCTAATTGAAATAAAAGAAGGCAAGGTAAATGGTTTTGAAAACTCTTTTGTGGAAGGATCACGGGTGTCGCTTCCCCCTAACTGCTACCATGATATGTGAATTGGAATGATTGCCTTGGGCACGGTAATCGCGAACCGCAGAGGGAGGCATATGTGGCCGGAGACCACAATCTCAATTGCTAAACCAAGGTAAGCATGAAAGACCGTGTCACTCGACCCTTTCAGTTTAGACAATCGGTAATTGACTTACTCCCTCACTCAACTCAAAGGTCGGATGGTTTAATCGCAATTAACCGATTTACTTTAGTCAACATTGAGGGTTTCCCTATCTTAACCTAGTTAGGTGGCCTAGAAAGCGGAAGAAAACCAACTCGATTGAGTCTCCCTTGGAAGGGAGATTTTCCTCTCTAAGCTAGGCTAAGGTGGCTAATTAGATTGCTAGCACCAACATGCACAAATCTAAGTGTCCTAAGCACAATTGTGCACAATCCTTAGGTTGCTAAGCACCTGAATGTACAAACCTAAGGATGCTACTCACAAAACATGCACAACCCCCTAGGTTGCTAAGCACAAGAATGCACAATCATGATAAATAATGCCTCAATCATTGAATAGAACAATACCCAATGACAATCATCCAATACACATAAAAGAATACTACATGGTAGATTAGGGTTTCACAACACCCAAGTGAAAGGAAGTCTACTCCATGCTAGAAGTGGGAAAAACAAAAGGGAAAGAGGTGGAAACCATATTGGAGGATGCTCCTAGTCTTCTTGGCCCTTGAGTTGAGCTTTCCTTGGAGGAAATCTTCCCAAAATCTGCATTGAAGCAAAACCCTAGCCTTCTTCTCCCTTTGGTTTGTGTTTCTTTATCTATAATTCTGAAGAAGGCTTCTCTCACAAAATGGGCTCTCCCCTCTTTCCTCCTTTCAGATCATCATTTAAACCAGAGACGAGCTGAGTTCACAGCCTGAGTTCATGGCTGTTAAGCACGAAATGGGTCCGTGAATTGCAGGCGTGCGCCAAAACGCACCGCTTCGAGCTCTTCTATTCACAGTCAACAGCCTTCGTTCACGGTCTTAGTGACCGTGAACTCAACTTGCGTCAGTAACCTCCGTTTTGGCTCTGGACGCCTCGCGATTCACGGTCAAAGCCTCTTTTTCACGGTCATGCAAGACCGTGAACTTCCTTGGATATTCGTGAACAAGCCCTTTTTAACCTCTTCTCCCGGTTTTCGATCCTTTTCGCCCAACTTTCGACTTTGAGGCTGGTTTCACCTGTTAAATCCTGAAACACACTAAAACACGAGGAAACTAGCGTAAAACCAACCTTTTAGGAGAGAATTCCACACAAACACCCAAGTAAAATGGGGGCAAAACATGTACAATTAGGCCTGAATCAAATGTTAATATGTCAAATAGTAATTTGGAGGTATAAACAAAATTATTACTCGTGGATAAACATAGATATACGAAAATCAATTGAATATGAACATGATTTTGAATTTTTATCCAATTCTTGTATTTTATATTGAGCAATAAACATACATTATCCGCCCAGCCGTTACCATAGCTAGTGACCATGCATGTTTGAACAAGAAGCCAAACAAAAGTTTTGACAAATAGGAGAGTGAAAGGACTAGAGAGAACAAACAAATTGAAAAGACATCGAGAAAACTCACTCAAAAATGGAAAAGCCGAAAAGTGAACCAAAGACTTTTTTTAGGTCATCTTAAATCTTTTTCGCACACTATTATCATCAATCTATCCATCTCTCTATCTTATTTCATCCTCATTTCATTTCCCAGTTCCAATGAAACCAAAATAAACAAGTGATGCCCACTTTCCTAGTCCCGCCCCAAAACCCAAGCATGTCTGAGAAAAACATAAACACCGACACCAACAATAATCAATTAGTTGAGATCAACGACAACAACAACAGCAAGAAGCAGCAATTAGCTCCTAATAGAAGTTCCAACAAAGATAGGCACAAGAAAGTGGACGGAAGAGCGAGAAGGATTCGGATGCCAGCCCTATGCGCTCCTTGAATCTTCTAGTTGACTCGATAATTGGGTCGTAAATCCGACGGAGAGATGATTCAGTGGCTTCTTTAGCAATCGGAGTCGTCGATCATGGCGACTACATGGACGGGGACGATTCTGGCCTCTGCTTTTGCGACTGCAGGGTCCTCTGTTTCTGCTGCAACAGAACAGGGGAGCCCTGTTTTCGCCGGAAGCAAATGGGCGGCGATGGTGAACGGGAATTTGGTGGGGAGATCGGGTTTGGGAAACGAGTTTTGGCCATCTGGGACAGGGTTTGTCGGTAATTTTTGTGGTAGTGGTGGTAATAGCAGTAGTCAGGCGTCACGAACAATAGTAGAGGGGGGTTGTTATGGTGGCGGTGGAAAGATTGGCGGGTTTCATCACGACGGTGGTGGGATGGAATTTCTTAATGTAGGGTTGATGAGTTTTTACTTGATGTTTAGTGGGTCGTGTTTGAATCCCGGTTTGGAGCTCGGGCTTTCACTGGACAACTTGTTGAATTCTTCTTCTCATGGGTTCAGCCAGTTCTATCAGCAGATGGCTCTTGCCCGAGCTGTCGTTGCTGTGGCGGACTCCATGAATCAGAATCATAATCAGCAACAGGAGGAGGAAGGGTCTTTGGAGAAGGATGAATCGTCTCACGGATCAAGGATTTAAAAAAGTGATCCGATTAGGTGAAATTAAAGTTGGCATCTTCTCTGCGTAGTAATTGATCTTGATATGTTCTTCTTGTTTCATTGTACATTTACAAGTGATGAAGTGGAGAGAAAGGGAGCTTGGTGAGAATGGTTTTGTGAGGATTGCAAACTCGAGTTTTGTTTGGTTGAAAAAGAGTTTCTTTGATTTGCGAGAATGTCTGTATCATAAGAGGATTTTGGAATGCCTAGGGGAAACCTTCTTCAATTTCCAGTGAGTTTAGTTCGAGGTTATAAAAGTTGTGATTGGATTCATAGTTTCTAGCCATTTCTTTGGTTTTTGCGCTTGTTTAATGTCAAAGTTAAACTTGAGGTTTTCATATTCTTTCATTTTCAGACTTGCTTAATATTTGAAATAAGTTCGGCATTAATTATAAAATATTATTTGAGTTTGGTGTTGCTAGCCGATCACTTTATTGAATGCAAATATCTTTTGTTACTCTGAAAACAATTATTTTGTTCTCGTCGTAAATTTTCTCAACTTGTCATTTTTTAAATGAATTCGTACAAAGTAGAATGTTTTTGAAAGATAAATAATCATACATGTAATAGACAATACCGTTAAGACCCGAAAGGAATTGAACGCATATAACAATTCAAGTCGTTAAGATATACTCTAAATTGAAATAAAGTAATTTTCGTAATTAGTTATGGGCTTATGGCCCTTTTGATCTTAATTGTTTCTTTCTAGTTTCTAACCTTATCAAAGCTATTTAGGGAAAGTGTTGTACACATTATAAGTGGGGCAACGCAAGTCATGAGTTCTTTGTCTCCCCGCACTCTTTATATGATTTTTCTCAACCCTAAATTATCATTGCAGGATGTTGATTCATCTAATTTTATAGTCATCATGTCATGTACCAGTCTTAGCACCACTTACTTACCAATGTTCTACTTTAATAATTGTAAGTTATATTGAATCACCGAACTCACATTTGAGTCAGTCAACTAAATTTTCACAACCACGATAAAAGTATTGATATACTATGTGTTATGTCTTTGTTTCAAATATGCGCCAAAATCAATTTAAACAAGATTGTGATGAATGTGTTTTGCTTTTTGCAGGGATAATAAAAACGTAAAATGAAAGCTACAAATAAATGGTCATATACAAATACAATGCATGTTGTTATATTATCAAATTGGCGCATATTCTGAATGAAAGAAGTGATTATTCATATTTTGGAATTAATATTTGTACTCAATTTTTTTAAAATTGAGACCTATTTGGATCTCTTTTATCTTATTTGCATATTACTGTCAAACTGGACGATAAACATAATTTTTATTATTCAACATGCTATGTTAGCTTGAGAGAACGACAAAAAGAATAATAACTTAAATAAAAGTAAAAAATAAATCTTATAATTTAATTTATTATAAACAAACAACTAAGAGACCACAAACCATTGGATGTTAGTCAACATGTTAGGAAGGTAAATAACACCAATTTGGGTGTTATGAATTTGTATTTTATGTAATCAATAGAAGGTAAATAACACCAATTGACTACATACACATATTTTACATACTAGTTTTTTATCCGGTTCATTGGTCGGAGAATTTTATTTTATCGTTTATATCAATTAAATTATCTATATGTTCAAAACTTTTTAATATTCTAATTTTTATGCTCTCGGTTCATTAGCGAGTATGTGATATGTCTATATTAAAAATTCTCAACTTAACATGCTCACTTATGATGCTTCGATTCTCTAATCATAAATCATATTGTGAAGGTTTATCATGTCCCATTTAGAAAAGTAATACAAAGATTTGTCAACCAAAGTGCTCAAATTTATTATCTTATAAAACATATAACAATTCATGATTCTCGAGTTATGACAACTTTTAACCAACTATCAAGAGTTCAGATTATTAGATAAATATACTTGATTACTAGATAAATTGTGTTTATCCCAAGTGAAACTTGACACACACCGTACCCCTTACGATGATCAACTTCTATAATCTTGTTTCATTTTCATGTGAATGTTCATGAAGTCTCGGCTAATGATCTTATATATGTTACAATTTGTCTATCAAGATACTCAAATTTAGTATATTATATAATAGAGTAAATACATATTATTAGCCAAATTTATTAAACTTTTCAAATTGTCAGTCAAAATTTTCAAAATAAAAAGTATTAGCCAAAGGTTAACTTCCGTGTAACATTTACGTTAGTAATGTTGACTCAACAACATGATAATGAGTTGGGAGAGACACATGACGATCTATATTACAATTTAGTATTTTATTTAAAAAAAATTACAAAATTATTAACGATAACAGACAAATGGTTAATATTTTAATGTGATACAAAATATTTGAGTAATCTTTTGTATTTTGAAACATTTTTCTAATAATTTAAAAAATTTGAAAGATTTAGCTATTAAATTTTATTTACTCAATATATAACAATTGCTAATTCTTGAAGTTTGGATCAACCCTCAACCAATTGTTGTTGTCTATATGTTGGCTTATAATCTAAACACACTATCAAGGGTTCTCTTCTTAACATGGTCTTTTAGTGTATAATTATTCAACTTTTTTAATGTGCATTTTTAAAGTTTTCCTTATTTTTTTGTGTTAGTTCTAAAACAAAAAATTTCATTATATATATTAGTAATTGATGAAACATGTCTACAATGCACATAGATTTATGTGCATTAAGAAATCATATTATTTAAACATTTAAATTATTATTTTTCATATTTTTAGAAAAAATTATTTTATAAAATTTTAAAACTCATACAAACATGGCCACATTTCAGATACATATGAATTATTGGATGTTGTAGACACATCTACTATAAATATCTAAGCATATATAAAGAGTTTACTTTATCTTTAACCTTGATTAGTAATTAAGATCTTTAAACTCACCTCGTTTAGTGAAATATGAAAACAAAATTTGATGATTACGATAACTCAATCTAAATACATATTGCTTACTATTACAAACTAAAACATATTTGTTTTGACACTTTGATCAATGTTATGTCAGTGGCTGATGAAACATAATGTTTGTTGTATATCGTCAACAAAGATTTCTCTAACATTCACACATGTCATATAATACTTGTACATCATCAATTTTTTACCTAGACCTTTTGCTACACAATACTTGTTTTATTTTATAGATATATACATTAGATATAAGAGAGTGTTCAATATAAAATAGTATAGTTCACTTTTTTTTTTATAACCCAGGAACATCAGCAACCCAAATGCCACATGAGTGACAGCCTACTAAACCTGGGGGTACCTGCATACTAACCATCAAGAACTTTGTCCCGACGCAGTGCCCGACGTTGTGCTACCATTATCGGGGAGACTTTGTCTCCTGTACCAAGGGTACCTCTGGGAACACCAAGAAGGCGATACTGGGATTCAAACCTGGGACCTCGTCACATCCCAAATCCGAAAGCCAACTAATAGGGCAAAAGCGTAATGTCAATTCCTATCTTGTAGTAAAACCGGAAATCCGGGTATCGTCTCTCAGAGACTGGTACAACCTTATAATTTATCAATTCTGCGGAATAAACTATCAGTGAAAAATGGTTTGGTTGATGAGATTATTAACTAATAGCAAAATAACTAAACTAATTAAGCAAAGTAAACTTGTCGGGTTGAAATCAATGGGAGAAAGCTCTGGGAGAAACACCGGGACTCACTACCTATCCTATCCAGATTAATTCACATATTCCAATCAATTTAATCCAACTCTCTACAGCCAGGATATCAAGAATGTGCTAGCTATCCCTATCGGAAATTACTACGTACTAAACAATTAAATCAAATCCTACTATCGTAGCTCAATGACTTAATTATTTAGCCTGAAGATCGATATGCTATTTAAGACCGCATAGCACCTTATTTAATCCACTGTCGCTTCGATAAGTTACTATGTCACATGAAATAGGTTCAGTTATTAGGGTTTCACTATCGCTAATAACCTAATTAACTACGATTCATTGTATTGGTGGCCAATCAACACAAAGCATTAAGAAATTCCATGCAATAGAGATTGGAAGAAAAGAAATATGAATCAATCCATCAATTCTAGAAATAGCTATATCCTATGGTGTTTCCCCCAGAAATTGGGGTTTAGTTCATGACGAAAATAAAGCACACAATCATGTTTATAATCATCATCGTATCAATTAAAGCTAAAGGAAAAATACTGAGATTATCGAATGTAATCCCGACACCTATTTCTTCTCGCTTCAATCGCCTGATGCTTTCTCCGCGCGATAGCTCGCTTCCAACTCCGCGCTCCTGCTCTCTGCGCTCAAGTACTGCTGCTTGCGTTTAATTCCGTCTGCTGTTACCTCTCCAATTAATTCCCCGTTGCGCCGCCAAAAGAATTCCGTGTCCCAAGCCTCTCGATCGCTGCCAAGCTGCTTCTCCCCCGTCCAAATATAATTCCGCCGCCCCCCCGTAATTCCCCTCGTGCTGCCAATTAATTCCCCCTGGTGAATTTCCTTCCGTCCCATGTACATCCAGTCCACTTAAATTATTCTATCCACCAATGCAAATTTCTCGTTTAATTTACCTGAAATATATAAAACATTTTGCACGTGATGGTAATGGTTTTATAACCATTCCAGGCTTAGTTGGACCTCAAACAAGTATTATCGGTCTCAAACATATGATGTTATAATCACATTAAGCACACAAAATCAATATGTTCTCGACAATTATCACCAACCCTTTACCAACTAGGTTGTCTTACCATCGGCAATATAGTTCACTTTTGAAAGTCAATTGTCTAACAATTATTTTCTCTCATTCCATCGTTATATTTTGTTTAATCGATAGAATTATATTAATATTTATGTATGTGTTTGCTTAAAATTTTAAATAAAAGGTAACTTATTATTAAGTTTAGTAAAAATGAGTAGAAAATTTACTTGATAAAGTTTGATAAGATACTTTGATTTAAACAAATTCAATATGTATAATTGTACAAACATTAGTCTATTGCTACAAACATATATATAAAACCAAAACAAACATGAATTATTGAAAGAAAGAAAGAAAGAAGAAAAACATTAAAAGAATAGATAGATAACGACATAAATAGATCATTAACCACAGAAAAAAAAGATCATTAACTAAATTTTTTGTTTGTAAACAAATTGATTTCATTTAAAATAAAAAATCTCACGCGTGTGAATCTAGGGAATAGTCGCTTCAAAACAAAGTTTACCTGAATAACATCTATATAATTAAAAAAATTGCTC